ATGGGATTCTAAATACTTCCTTTGAGATCGCACACATGGGATACGCACCGAGGTCAGGCCGGCCTTTGTGTACGTGCGCATGTGTATGCGTGCGTGTGCTGAGCTGGTCTGTGGAGAGTGACTTGCTTTGTGCGTGGCCAGTCGACCACGGCCCTCACAATGGGCAGAAAGAGGGGGTGACTACCTTTTGACAGAGCATTTTATGTCAATGAGATCATAGCAATTGCCTGTTAGTGACCTGTGGCGTGCTGCTATGAGACGTGCGTCTGATATGAGATGTGCTGTTTGCTTTCACCTTATTTTACCTCGCCTTACCTCACTCCAAAACAAATGCCTCTTTTGGTAATCAAATTGCAATTCAGCACAGTGGTTCACCCTGAACTCACCACTGCGTTGTTGCTCTTTTTTACCCTACCCCCTCCCTTACCCCCTCCTGCTTTATTTTTAACAACAACATTATCTCCTCTTCCCTAAACTAACCACATGTTTGTGAAAACTGATTTTGATGCCTCTGCCCTCCTACTCCGCCAACCCCCCCTGTTGTATTTTTTTTTTTTTTTTTCCCGCGCAGTGTGTGAGACACCCCGGGGTATAGGGGGGGGGGGGAGTGTGGTGTTGTTGGGTGGGGGTTAAGAGAAATGGAGGGAAGGGTTGATGAAAACAACAGATCTCTGCTCCCTAATCCTTTTGTGTCGACGGTGTTAATCCACCCGAGCAAGCCCGGTTCCCCCCCTTTACCCACCCTACACCACTCACCCTCCCTCAACCCCCTGCTCCTGCACCATACACCAGGCGCTCCCACCACATAAACAACCGACAGCACTGCTGAAACCAATACTCATCCCCCAGACAGTCGAGCTAGAGGTGCACAGCAGCCACAGTAGCCCCCCTGACAAAAAAACACAACTCAGACTCAACTCTGTCCTTCCTTTCATCCTGTTCATCTTGGTGGCCACTGGGAACAAGTCTCTACACTGAATTTGCTTGCTTTGTTTCTCTATGCAAACATATTTTAATCTTGCATCAGCGAGCGTGTGTGTGTGTGTGTGTGTGGGAAAGTATTGTTTTCTCTTTTTGTGTGTTTTGCTTTTTTGCGTCGGCTCGTCTTTTGTTTTGCCTACTGTACATGTAATGAATGCACTTGAGAGCAACACGGTGCATTCACTGCAAGTGTTTTTTTTGTGTCGTGGTCTTGTTTACGAGCTGTAAGAGAGGAAAGAGGGGAGGGAGGAAGAGGGCGTCGGGGAGGGGGAATGGCAGCGGTTGCCGGGGGAAGAGGAGGTTGTGTCTAATGAGGTCACACCCTGGCAACCCGGTGACTCCTCCCACTCAACCCCCCCCTCCCCATCACTCCTCCCCCATCTCTCCACTTGGCCCCCTATGAGTGTGCCCACCCACTCAACGCCTCCCCTCCTCCTCCCCCCCGCCTTCACCCTCTGACAGAGAGAGCTCTCCGTGGTGCTGAAAGCAGAAAAACACATCCAGGCTCCAGTTACAGACAAGCCGCAAAGGAGAAGGCGCACGACGAGACGCACAAGGCAGAAAAACATTTTTAAAAAGCTGCAGAAAGACACTGGGGGTGCGAGTGCTTGTGAAGATGACTTGAAAAAATCACACAGCAAGAGAAGTAGAAGGGTAGGAGAGGAAAAAAAAGGGAAGGAGAGAGAAGCAGAGAGGATGACGCTCTAGTGGAAGGTGGCTACATTAGGCAGTGGGCGTGTTCTTCTTGTTGTGATCTATAGTTGGGAAGCCCAGTGTCATCTGCTCAAGCACAGATCAACTGTGCAGACCGGTGTGACTGAGCGGGACAGAGGGGAACAGGCAGGGAATGCCGTACCTGGAAACGTACATCACTTTGCTCTACCTCGGTCTCAACCTTGCGGGCGCTGTGGATCGGGATTCCTTTCACCTGTGCGACACTTTAATACACTAGAGCAGAAGGAGAGACATTCGGGGACAGAAGCTTTAGGAGGACTTTGAGTGCCTAATCTGCAACTGCGACAGGAGTTCGATGTGAGAGCATGTGAGCTTGTTAGTGTGCATTTGTGTCATGCACGCGGTTGCGGGTGCGGTCGGTTGCTACGCTGCAGCTCCTTTCCGTCTTTAGCATGTGCAGATGTGTGGAGAAGTGAAGCTGGCACCCGGCTTGGAGTTTGGCATCATCTGGATCGGTGGGATCGCGGTCTCCCTTTTCTGCCCAGGGAAGGGGGCATTGGGCTGGGCACCCAATGGCCCAGGTCCCCTCTAGCACCATCCTCGTCCTGGGTCACAGGGACTCCTTCTAGCAGGCCAATCAGTGGGACCATACGATGGATGGAAGCCTATGTGGATTTAAGTGGAACAGTGCACCGGTGCTCCAGCTTAGGTCAGAGTTCATTAGCGTACAGTGGACTCATCAGGGAAAGACAGAAGATACGTTGGTCCACAAACCAGCAAGGACACAGATCCATTGTAAGTATACATCATAACACTTCTTCATACGCAGCAATGACCCACAAACCCACAAACAATTATGCAAATAAATAGCTCATGCTCATCCTCTTGCTGTACACGTCATAATGTACACATAAGTCAACTTAGCAATCTGCCAAGTGTGAAGAGCTGCCAAGTGTGGACCAAGTAAAGGTTAGCCTTAACCTGGTCCACTGCAGTGCACTAATGTGTGTGTGTGTGTGTGTGTGTGCGCGTCTATGTGTGTGTCTACATGCACGAGCGCCCACGCATGTTGTCACCAGACTCTTGGCCTTGCAATCTTTTTTGACATTGTGTCTCTAGAATATCCATGCTGGCCTTCTCCTGTGACACGGTTGCCTGGAAACAGAAACGGTGTGTCACCATCATTTACTTTTAAAGCAGAGTGCACCTCTGTGTTCCAACTGTTGCAGCCCATGTCAACTGGGGCAAAGGGGGAGGGAGGAGGGAGATGTGATGAGATAGGGGGAAAAAAAAGAGAAAAGGCATCAAGTGAAGGGAGAGAGCAAGAAGGGAAGGGAAAATGGAGCTTTGTTGAAAAACAAGGTTGCTGAATTGACAGGTTTTATGGAGATGAGCATATAATAATAGCATTTTACATCGATGAGTTAAGGGAGGACAATCCAATGTGAAAGGCTCGCTTGGTAAAAACACTGTGATAAACAAGCTGATTCCAGTGCAGAGTGCTGCTGCAGGCTTACGGGGATTAGGCAGGCAGGCTTAATTCAGCTCAAACGCTGTTTGAACTGTGCCTTCCCATTGCTGCACCTCGAACTGGTGCACCTCAACTCCCATCAGAAACCAAGATTTATTTCCTTCGCATAACTTCAGATCTTCAGACCGTGCCTGTGCATCAGTGATAAGACCTGATAATCAGGGCAACAAAAAAAAAAATCTCGACACCACCTGACAGCAGGCTTCTGTGCCCCAGTTTGAACTCTGCTCTGAGATGGTGATTCTGTCTTTTGGCTCTTATCAGTCCTCTCCTCGTGCCTGTAAAAACCTACACTAAAGAGTATTGAGGATGCATCACGGGGAGTGGAACCGGCAGATAAACCCTTTGACCCAGCGCACATGCTGGACTTAATGATAGACAGACACGAGGTAGAGGGATGCTGAGGGTGGCCAGACAATGGCCGGCCTCTCAGCTGGCCATGCAATCTCCATCTGGCTGCCCTCCAAGACCCCCCTTGTTGCCCTTGCCTCCCTACACACACACACACACGCATACACACAAACATACATACAGTTATCACAAGCCCCCTCCCCCTCCCTACGCACACTCACACTCGGTGCTTCTCTCACACGTAAACAAGCATGAGTCTTAGGCTGATCTGAAAACATTGACCTACATAAAAGCATGCACTGTCTTCTTCTTTCCACCACTGGCCTCTCCAAATTCACATTTGGCCGTTTCACATCGTACATTCTACGTTGCATGCAGTTGCACGGGTTTTCGAATGCAAAGCGAACATGCATGAACGCTGAATCACACCATGAACCGCCCCGTTCTGTGCTCGGATCTTAAGAGACTGCAAACAACGCTATTTTAAACTGATTAGCGTTTAGCAGTGAATCACAGAACGATTGCACCAGCGGTAATGTTTTACAGAGGAGGCGACTTCTCACAGCATCATCCATTCTCTTTCTTATGAAAATGATGCTGTCAGTCTTTTGACAAAATCCAAAGGTATGAAGGAACAACTCCAACGGAGATTATTTGCGGATCTAAAACACAAGATTGATAATATTCATGCAGCGTATGCAAAGAGATGCATCACAGTCCAGTGAGATTGGTTCATTTCATCTGTGTTGCTGTGATCGGTCCCAGGAGTGCTATATTTTCACATCTGAGCCCAACACATATTACAACTACAGAAGATGAAAGCCCCTTTTCAGTTTCATTCAGACACTCGCTTGGTTAAAGCCAGTAATTTCAGCCAGAAAATGTGCAAACACAACTGAGAAAATGAGCAGCCGCTGCTGATCCACACTGAAACAGAAGGTTGTGAGTAATTGTAGCTAGATAGTAAGTCCTTTGGCTGTTTGCATATTTACATGTGCATGTCAGGATTTTCTATATGTTTGTGTGTGTGCGTGAGTGTGTGTGTGTGCGCAGTAAACGTTGGAGAAAGATGTTGCAACCCTCTAGGGAAAATGATTACTCTTCCGGATGCAGGCATGATGTAAATCTCACCACCGACATAAGCCTTCCATAGGCGTGAACTTCACGGCAACAGTCAGAAACATTAAGAACATCAGTAACTGACTCACTGTGTTACATTATTCCGGGGGCTTATGCAATCTTGCTCCATCGTTTTCCTCTCACCAAAGCTGACCTTGAAATTTGAAGGCTGAAGGAATAATTACTTACAACGGTCCACGCTTGTTTTGCATTCAGAACGTGCTCGTATATACATATATATATATAATACTGTGGTAGTCAATATTACGAGTAGTATTTTGTGTCTCTTCTGACTATTATGTCTTCTATCTCCTCATCAGAATGCAGTGGAAACACTTGAAGAATGATGAGCTCCAAAGAGGAGGAAACTCTCAGTTTTTTCCAGTATGTTGAGGAGAATGGCCTGAGAGCCTACAACGGCCTGGTAGCTCAGAACTTGGACCACGCCAGGAATGAGAGAAATAGGGCATTCCTGCAGGAAAAAAACGACAAGAAAAGAAAACAGGAGGAAGCCATAAGGAGGTAGGAAGAAAACAAACCAAGTGTTAATATAAGTAAAGTCAGCAAATTCATTGGCACAGCTTATTAGGTCAATATACAGTTTAACAATGTGTTTTGTTAAGCAAGTGGCTGACTTATCGGTGTTGCTCAAATGCAGCACACCGGTGGGATTTTGTTCCGTAAACGCAAAGGATGTCACTGGGTTTGCTTTAGGATGAGATTGTCAGGAACTGGGACAAGTGGCCAGAGGGTCCCTGTGGCAATGGCAGGTTGCTATATTTTGGGGTTTACCAGTGTGGACTGGTGCGCCCCATGATCTATAGAGGATAATTAATTTTTCACTTTTAGACTTATTTAGGCCTTGTCCTTGGGTGGAGGTCACCGCTGCTCCATTTTTGAGATGGAGAGCTTTTAGATTTAAGAAGGAGCGGGTTGGGCCGCGACAGAAAGTGTGTTAGGATGTGATGTTTGGGGACTTCTCGTTCTGCCGCGGTGATGTGGGCGTCGAGTTTGGTTGTTGGAAGAAAATTTTCCAACTGTGCAGAAAGTTATTAAAAAGTTGCTTTAGTCTAAAATGTGTTTTATCCCAACTGACCTCATCGGAGATCAGCGATATTTGCCGCTGCGCCCTGGTTCGTATGCTGTGATGAACAAGCATTCACAACAGTGCCGCTGTGCGTAGCATCCTGAAACTTGACCGAATACGAGGCACGCACTTCCAACGTGACTAACACGTGGATACAGCGTGCTTGTGTTGTGGGGTAGAATAACAAGCGCTCCACGAGTCTCCGAGTCTTCGGGGATGATAACGGGACGTTGCAGAGGGGTTTTAGAATATGTCGCTGCCTTTTTCGCCCCAAAAAACTGAGAAGGGAACTTAATCGACATGACATGCGATGACATCCAGAAACACTGATTTTTATTTTTTTACATTTTTCAGTGGTTTAACAATGATTGCAGCTTCACTTCGAAAGCAACGTGCATGAGTTATTAATGTGCTTTGGTTATTTTAATAAGGTAATATGATCTTTTATTAGGTCTTGGGAATGATGGCTTGTCTGTAGTATTGTCAAGAAATGTATAACACGTGGAGCATTCATTTTTGATGCCATCTTTTTTACAGTGAAGTATTTAGCACTCCTAATTACCATTACCATTTGGTGTTTGATTTTTAAAGAGAATATCAATCAAGCGGATGCATGTTTCATCTGAGAACAGTTGCGGAGAAACACTTCCACTTGTTCTTCGCAATTAATCTAGCGATGCAGCTGAACGAACATCAGTTTGCAGCGGAAAGGCTTGAGGGAAATGCTGTCCAGTGCTGTCTTGGAATCTAAAAATAATTTGTTTTTGTCTGACACAGTACAAAGTGTTTTAGCAGCTGTCGGAAGTTTTATCTGTTCGTCAGATAATTACGTCGATGCGGTTTGGGCTGATGAGCATTTATATGTGGCCAGATGTGATTCTTCTCAACCTGTTTAAGCAGGAACACTTTGAACCCTGCCATGTTTCTGTCAAAAGGTCATGCAATTCAAAAGAGCTGTTTCTCTTCTGCCTCTGTGGGTCTCTGTGGACAGTGCATTGCAGAATTTGCATATACTATATCTCATGATGAAAGCTGACTTAGAGGTTAGCGTCATACCTCAGGCATTAAAAAGACTGTTAAAGTGACATTTCTTAAGATCATTTAGAATCTGTCTTTACCCAAATGTTTCACTTAAATCTAATTGCTCCTATTGTAATCTGTAGTCTGCAGTCCTGATGAATGGAGCAGGGTGATGCCCGAGGAAAGTGACATCCAATGTCCTGCTATCCATCCTGTTACTAAAGCTAAAACATTAATACCCAGTCACTGGAGGAAGAGTCTAAAAAATAGCTGGATTTTTTATGAGGTCTATAAGTAGGTCAATGAGACGACCCATTTTTTACAGTAAATGAATGAGAGGAGAGAATGTAAGAATCCATGTGTGCACGCTTGTGTTTGTGTGTGCATAAGTGCATACATGGATGGCTGTGTACATGTGCATGCAGAGGCATAAACAACAGGGGGAAAAAAAAGGAATAAATTCATTTGTGGGAAAGGGTAGGAAAGAGGAAATGGCCTGTGTGATTGTGTGAGGGAGAGAGAGCTTGTTAGAGCAAGTGTGTTTAAGAGTAGGGGGAAAAAGGAAAAAAAAAACCTGTTAGAGGGAGATTAAGTGTGAGCTCAGTTGCAGGAGATGTGTTCTGCCTGGTGACAGCTGGAACAGCCATAGGCCAATCAAATCAGCACATTGGGTTTGAGTGAGGCGGGCCTTCCTGCCTGCTGCTAGCTCACTCTGGGTCGCTTTTATTGTATTTCATCAGAAGGAAAAACTTATTCACCCAGTCAGACACACCACACAGATGTCCGCATATTAAACCAACCTTGCAAGAATATTCAAAATCACCCCTCCCCGGTCCCTGACACATAAGGACACACGCTGTCATTTGCTTATATTTACATATGCATGCAAATTTTTAAACGACTGCTCCCCTCCAGCTTTGCCCTCTGTGGACACACACACATGCAATCACAGACTTTTCTTCTTTTTTTTTTTTTTTTTTAACTTCCTCGTCTCCTTTAGTGTTTTGTTTGTTTCTGTGATGTTGTTTTTCCTGTCACATGGTGTCACAGTGAGAGAACCAGAGCTGCCCGACAACAAGTCAACTCCAACTGGTCCGAGTGCACCTGTGGTCTGTCCTCTAGCCAATCACTGGGCAAATATCCTATAAATAACCCAGTCACCAGTACTCCAGTCACACCCACCCACCCACACACACATACACGCAGCCCATGTATATAGGAGTTTATGTCACAGCAGATGCACACCCAAAACACATGACAGGGAGGCACTTTTAATTCTGTGCTACTGACACCTGTGGCTGAATTGTGGTTTTTCTTTTTCTTTTTTTTTTTTAGAGGCCATTTTAGCCCGGATATGAATTATTCATTTTTATACAAAACAATAAGAACTTCTTTTGTTTTCTGGCTATCCTGCCTTATTTGATAACCCTGACACTGTGGCCCTACAGGTTGCTGCAGGCTCCTTTTTTTCTTGTATCATCAGTGTCATCTTTTAAATGAATCCTGATGCGGTTGCCATGCACACATGCCACGGTGTTATGATGTGCACGTGTACTTTATTATTGTTGTGCGGCGGCAGCTGGTTTTGTGTCTGGTTTTTATGGGTACCCTGTTGCTAGGCAAAGTTAAGCCCCTGACCAATGAACCCAACCCACCAAACACCTTCTGTTCAGCAGCTGGCCGGGAGGGAGCCGGAGTCAGCAAAGTCATAGACCGAGGGGGGTCACGCACACGCGCACACGCACGCTCGCACGCATGCAAATTCATTTAATTTCATGTAACATTTAATTCTCTGACATTAAGCTTAATTGTGTCTCTCTGATATGATAATAAATTAATAAAAACACAGCAAAGATCAAACATGCAAACGCTGCAAAATGTATGCACGCCTGAATCAGAAATTATCATCTTTTTGTACCAACCCTTTTCCCTAAACACAGTCAGATCTTGGGCTCATTTACTCTGCAATACACACACACACACACAAACAGGCACGCAGACACAAACTTCCTCTTCCCCCCATTTGCAACACAACACTCAGACATCATTAACGCTCCATTCAGGCCAATCATCCATTTATAGGAATTGATTGTGTGCAAGCTGGGGGACTTCCATGGTGTCATTATGTGTGTGCTTGTGTTAGGGGCATCAGTCATATCCAGGGTTAAACTCAAATCAATGCTTTGCCCTGAAAGAGGCCCTGTTGTCAGTGGCACTAACATGCCTGTTATTGTTAACTTAGTGCGCTCGTCATTCGTGCCACTTGCACAGACACACACACATATGCTCACTCAAACGGAGATATGTCATGATGACTCTGTATGTCAGGGTATGTGCTATTTTTGCTGTCTCCTGGCAGCTTACAGGGGATGATGTAGGAACTTAAGTCATGGTTTTTCTTTGCCTCTTTCTTTTAGCCCACATATTTCTTTTTTTTTTTTTTTCCTAATTCATTGTTTTTTTTGCATCAGATTGTTGTTTCTGTCATTCACCTTCATTTTCCTCTCTACTCCCTCTCCCCCTCTCTTGCTGCTTTAGAACGGGTGAGGACATAGCGACTGAAGGCAAGCACTTGCGTATGGGCTCGATAACCATGCCGGACCCCCAGGAACGCATGCCCATTCCCCACCTGCATGCCATCGCCTGCGGACAGGGCTTCTCCGTACGATCCCAGTCCCTCCACTCCGTCGGCGGTGGGAACAGTGGGGGCGGTGGAGAGGAGGAAGTGGGAAGCCCGACCTCGAGGAAACAGCCCCCACCTAAGCCCAGGAGGGACCCGGCCACTAAGCTGAGCATGTCGTCCGAGGCGGTGGACCACAGTCCCATGTCCACCTGCCGCGGGGAGAGATGTGACGGTGAGTGGTGGTGGCACTTCACACCAAACTGCTGTGCTATATATAGCTGCTCTCTGCAGTGCCCTCCTCAACATTGTTTCTCCCACAATGACATGACATCTAGCTATTCACTTAATACTTCACACTGACTACCATAGTTGCAAATTTATATTTAAAAAAAAGTCCTGCAATGACAGCGAGGTTAAACCAAGGGTAAAGCACATTTTGGATACGCCACACAATGTTAGAAATGGGACAATCTGCAGCCCAGTAATGTACATATAAAGGGATATTTAAGGTGCTTGACAGGATTTGCGCTGCAGTACATTGTGGCCTGGATATGGTTTGCTCATTTTGTAAGGAATGACCTTACTTTAGCATGTTTAAATAGCCATGTGCTGGTAAGTGCACAGGCTAGAACAATTCAGATTAGTACATTCCAGAAAGAAAGGTGAGAAATCTAAGGGCAAGTAACTTAATTTGAGTGATGTTTTTCCTGGTGCTCTTCTCTTCTGTGACTGAAGAGTTGTTTGCATATTTTCCCTTGCCCCTGGATTAAATCAGGTAGTATGTGATCCAGAGTTGTACATCGATGTGGTGAACTAGAGGTCAAAGTATTCACATGCATATGAATGACTGGTACATTATTTGTGCCTTTTTAAATATCCCTTTTGATAAAATACCCTACTTTATCATTCAGTAGTTCATAATAGCTACATTTTATGGCCTTGGC